AATCTTGTGTTCTTGGTGAGAGAGTATTGAGAGATGTTACCATAACAAATAGTCATTTGTGTATTTATCAATACTTGCACCTGTTTAGTTGATGTGCCGATTACTTGTGTTGTTGCATAAATTTAGACATGCTAAAAATCATTATAACTAACAAATTATTGTAGTTTTTAGAAACCTTGATTCACACCCTTCTATGTTTCAACTAGTCATACAATTCCAACATATGTTATCTCCAAATTAATTTTATCTATCTTTTATCAGTTTTATTTTTTTATAGAGTATATCTCACTATCTATCACCTAATAATGCCTTCAATTCCGTAGAAATGAATACATTATGTGGGGCTGAACTCTAAATTATCGTTAGTCCTCAATCTCTTGATTTTATTCTCTATTTGATTTTCAAACAAACTCTTCATTATAGAGAATACTTAGATACTTCATCTTTATGTTTAACAATAAACACTCAAAATTTACAAAAAATAATTACAAAAGAATTAAAAATAGAGAATGACTCTTTTTAAGAGACATAAGAATCATCTTTTTCTATCATTGATAAATATTTATTTATCATTAAAAATTAATTAATTATCTCTTTGATTTTTACATTAATGAATCATAATAAGCATGAATTACTATATCTCATCATATTAGCACAAAAGTCAAAAGATATGTATAAATGACTTTAAACTTAGCTATATCTACATCATACAATTTATGGATTTAATTACTAACATTTTCTAACCTTTTTCTAAGGTTTATCACCTTGAAAATGTATCTCAAGAACTAGGACATAAAATTTTAAATTTTTATTATAATGAGATTAATTTCTATGGATTTACCAAAGTGATTATAATTAACATGGAATGTTAAAGCTCAAAGACCCCAAACATAAGAAAGAACATATTGAGACATAAAAAAATTAAACATGGCACCCAAAAGATTGGACTCAATGAGGCCATGCAAAGAATGGAGAAAGAAGGACCAACAAAAACATTGATATATAAACCTTAGAAAAGGCAAATGAAAGGGGATTTTTATAGGAGGTGATGGCTAGGTGACAAACAACTGAGGCCTTAGGGTTGCAAGCACAATCTCTCCACCTTTTCCTCCCATTTCTTAATTACTTAGACTATCTCTTATTTTGTAGATGACAAGTATCATTTGATAATGATATTTCATTGAGTTTCTAATGAGTTATTCTTCTCTATCCTTAACTTCTCACATCTTGACAATGACACCAAGGCAAAGGAAGAGAAATATGTATCAACTCGTATAGTTTATTTTATGTTTATAATTTTTCCTAGATACCTTACTTTCTTATGAATCTAATAAATATTTGATCTGTTCATTCTTAAGGATGAATTTGATTTCACGAGCACCACATAGAATTAGGTTTATATCTTTAGTAAAAACGTAGACAGTTAGTTTTTTATCTTTTTTAATTTTTTCATGATTTTAGAATAAATTTAGTCTAAGTTTCTAGATTTTACCATTATTATTTTCTCTATTTTTTTATGTTCTCAATTTCTGATTTTTGACTTCTAATAATATTGTTTTTTAGAGAATGACATATTGAATTACGAGATAAATTTTAAGAATATAAAAATTAGAGTGAGTCATTTATATTTTCTGAGTTTTTCTTAACGTTTAGAGTTAGATAATGATGTTTTCAACTTTTTTAATTTTCTTAAGGATCGACCTAAAATCCCTATAAATAAAGAGAGTTTATTTGGGTTTTTAGTTATAAATATTAAGTTTGAATGGTTAAATTAACGATGACTTTGGGCACATCAATCATTAAGGTAGATATTTCTTTGGGTGAAATAGAAACCATGGTGTCTAATAGGGTGTATAAACCACTAAACCTTTTCTCTTTTATCACAATAACAACTCATTTTTTGATTTTCATATCTCCACCTTCACATGAATAACTACAGAAATTAACATTAAGAGCATCAAAAGAAATGATTTTTTTATTTAAATAAGGAACATATCTAACATCATAAAATATTCTCATAGCACGATTAAATATTTTAATGACAATGAATCATTTCCAACTATATTATATGAAAATCATTCTCTATTAAGATAACTCCATCATTGATTTGCTCATTTGTCAAAAAAAAAAATCTATTTGAAGGCACATGATCTTAACAACCCCATCTAAGATTTAATCATCTTTACATCCATTAAGAAAGTGAGAAGCAATATTATGACTCGTGGCAACACTAATATTCCTAAACTTTTAGCATGTAAATGCTCTTTTGTATCCTCAATTCAATGCCTTGTTCTGTGTTTGAAACAATTAATCTTAAAATTTTACTTATTGTGACAATAATTTCGTAATTATTTTTTTATTTTGATCTCTACTCTCCTTTATTTCTCTTTAATTGATTTCTTTCCTCATGTTGATCTCAATAACAGGATATTTTAAAGTAAAACAAGATAAAGGTGTGCATTCTTACTCAAATTTCACAAAGAAATAATATGACAATTATATTTATATTTATAATAAATTTTAGGTTTAAATAATAGAAAATCAAGCATGGTACATTTATTATTGGGATAGACTTTATTGCCTTGAGAAAATTAGCAAATCATATTTTTCAAATAAAAACTTATTGATGTAAAAAAAATGAGTGGAAAATATGTACATTAGAATTTTATGATGACATGAAAGTAGTGCAAACATGAAAACATTATTTGATTCAATGATAATTTATATCATACTCATAAAAAATAATTAATATCTAAAAAATATTAAACTAACTTGAATAAAATGGATACATGAAGGGTTCCATTCCTTCAAATATTTACTTTTTTATCAGACATAAATGTGAAATAATTTATTATGGTTGCAGATGTACTAAGTAAAAATCCTCATGCTAGTCAACTTGAGAGCTAAGATAATTGGGTTTGATTATTTAGAAAATAATTATATGAATCTGATAATTATTTTTACTAAAATTTATGTTGTGATTAAAAATAATCAATCTATGAAAAGATTTCATTTACAAGAAAAATCTGTTTCATGGAAATCAATTATGCATTCCTAGAAGTTTACTTTGTGACAGGGTAATACAAGAATTACATGAAAGATTAGGTGAGCATTTCTACATTTGAAAAACCTTATTTATGGTTTAATATTGCTATTATTGGCCACATCTCATAAAGGACACTAAAAATCTAATTTGAAGATGTCAAATATGTTAGATAAATAAGGGCTAATGTAAAAATATAAGATTTTATGCATTTTTGTCAATTCGACAAAAAACATTGGCTGCTATATCTATGAATTTTAATTTGGGTCTATTCCAATGTCAGCAAAAAGATAATTCTATTTTGTGGTTGTTGATCATTTTTAAAAAATAACATAATTTATTGACTGCAAAAAGATGAATGACATGGTACACATTGTAAATTTATTATTCAAAGAGATAGTTTGCTTGCATGGAGTTTCTAATCAACTATGCATGATTGTGCTACCAAATTTTTATCTTATTTATGGCATACTATGTTGAATGTATTTGATATCTATTTAAAATTTAGTGGTACAAGACATCCAAAGATAGATGATCAAACTAATGTAATGAATAGAACACTTGACAATACTTCTAATTTGTTACATCTCAAGAGATAAACTAAATAAAAGAAACTTTTTATTAGCTCAGAAAAAAAAATGATCATAACTATATGGTGAATCATTTTACCAAAAAATCTATATTTTCTGTTGTCTACTAGTTTCCTCAACAAAAAAAAAAAGATTTAATGTAGTTACTACTACTAGAAAAGGTTACAAAATATTATACCTAACAAGATGGCAAAATATATTTCATCAATTCATGAAGAAGTCACAATATTTAATGTAACTATTGTTACCAAAAAAAGCAGAAAACTATTGCAACTAACAAGATGACAAAGTATATTTTATCAATTCATTAAAACTAACATAATACATCTCATTAAGTTAAAACAAGAATAATAAGATGACTAATAAGAGAATATGATAAAAAAAATTTATGTGACATGGTTATGGTTTAGTTACAAAAAAGAAATATTACCAACTAGGACTTAACATAAGTTCTCCAAAAAAATATGGACCACAAAAGGTTCTGATCACTTACCATCAGATCAATAGGAATACCTATGACATCAACTTATCATAGAGCATGGAAATACCTTCCACTTATAATTTTATAAATATTGTTGAATATTATGCAAAAGAAGAAGAACACTCGAGGGTGAGTATTTTTTGAAAGGACATTAATCTCAGACAACCAGAAGATGACCCCACAATTGCGGAAGACGGCCCAATTAGAAGACAATTCATTTATGAAGGATAGTAATTAAAGAATGGACAAGCCCAAAAAGAAGATCCATACCCAATACAGATTTTAAAGAAAGGGATCCAAATCGACTTAAAAGATTTTACTTAAATCAGCCTAGTCTGGTCTGAATTGAGTTAACTCAAATCAGCCCAAAACATATTTCTTCGTGGAGAAACCTTATCTACCACCACCCTCTCCTTCTAGCCTTTAACCATAATTGAATAATTATTCCTCATTCAATTCTATGCATTACTTGAGCTCTTTCCCTTCTGAGCATTCTCTACTTGTGAATCCAAGAGAGGCACCTCAATATTGAAATGAACTGGGCCTTTGAGAGCACAATGGAAACAACTTATTTCCTTTTACTAGCCTGAAAAAATGAAAACATCAGGCCTAATTTCATAGTAAAAGATAAATACATTTAGGGTTAATTAGGTTTAGGTCCCTACAAACCATCGGCTTTATAGAATCCCCTCCCTTCACTAAGTCTCAGTAGGACCTGGCAAAATACTACAAAGTAGGGGGCTGAACCCAAAATTAGGAGGTTTTAGGGACAGAACACTAATCACCCCAAGAAAGTAACTGGAGGTTCTGTAGGTTCGTGTATCGTAGGCCCTTGGTATCTCAGGCCGTAGTATAGAAAATGTATGAGAAGACGGAGCCTTGATCTCTAGCCCTCTCGGAGGGTCGCCGGCGTTCTGGGCTTGCCGGCGATCACAAAGGATGAGAAAGTCACCTCCCTGATGAGAGACCTTCCGCCCCAAGCCTTCTCCAGCTCCTCCACCACCTCGGCCGGCAACAAGTTGATCCCTTGCTTCTTGGCGATGTTCACTGTGGACCAGGTCCGCAACAACTGGAGAATCCACTCAAAAGAGGCGTTCGTCTTCATCTCGAAGGCCGCCTGCTCACCTTCGGCGCCCACGCCGACGCTGTCGAAGGGGAAAGTGAGATTCCTGTACTAGGGCGTCGAAGGAGGGGGAGACGCTCATTTCCCGGTAGCTCCAGACGGCCACCACACCGCCGGGCTTCCTGAGGGCTCGCTCCACCACCGGGTAGAACTTCTCGAGGTCGAAGCAGTGGACGGCCGTGGCGATGGTGACCAGATCGACTGCGTCCTCCCCACCCAGTAGCGCCAATAGGCCATCCTCCGGCATGGAGATGGGCGTGTGAATGTACCGGATCTTGGTGTGCGGTACGGCGTGCTTTAACTGGCCCTCGCTTACGTCAGTGGCGACGACTCGGTCGTAGTGGTCGGCCAATTGCTCCGCCGCCGTCGACGGCAAGTGGGTATGGATGTGTTAGGGGTGGAAGTGATGAGAACCGGCGGAAGAGGGAAAAGGAGACTTACATCGAAGGCGGCCTGGCCGTTGCCGGTGCCGGCGTCCCACGCCACGATGTGGTGTGGGGTGAGGGCGGCGAGTAGAGCGAACCACTCCTTCGGGTACTTCGGCCTCGTATCGGCGTAGATCTCCGCCTGCATGTCGTAAAGGTCCGCCATGGTTTCAACATCTCTCTCTCGCGCTTTTTGGAAGGGATCCCATCCTACAAACGAGTTTGTATTAAAGCAATTCGGAGTCAACCTCGGGTATCTACGTCTGGGTCAACCTTTTTCAAGTGCCCCTCTACAGCCGACGGAAAATAAAGCCTCGATGTAAATCTAATATTTCCTGAATTTTCAGATGTATTAATTCTGTATTCGTGTGATTAAATCGTTCCCATAAATGTGTCGGTCGTTGACCGGCCAACGACCGACCACAGAACAATCGTAGCGCAATGTCAGCGTAAACCCCGCGAAGCGTTTTTTCACGTTGTGAGTTGGCACGTTTTCTAGAAACTGTCCAATCTCTTTGACTGATTCTGGACCGATGCGTCCAACATTTTAGAAACTCTTTAACGGGCTGGGCTGGCTTGAGTGCGCTTGGCGAAATTTGTGCTGAGCCCAACAGCTCTCTCCCTCTCTCCCTCTCTCTCTCTCTCTCTCTCTCTCTCTCTCTCTCTCTCTCTCTCTCTCTCTCTCTCTCTCTCTCTCTCTCTCTCTCTCTCTCTCTCTCTCTCTCATCGCCGGCGTGTTTGCAGACGGAAGGTTAAAGACGGGTCTCATTAATGAGGAGGGCTGGCCTGTGACAACCTTCTTCCGCCTTTCATTCTACGATCCAACCCACCCCGCACCCTCCGACGTCGCTTGCAGACATATAATGGACGGCTCATTAATGCGGTGAGCTGGCCGTAGAGCTTTCCCCCCGGCGGTTAGATCCATTAACGGCGCTGTCTGTGGCCGCTTGGAAGGACTCCACCATCCTTCCGCTGTCCTTGTCGAGATCATCAAGGTCTACGTGCACGACACCACCCGCCTTCTGATCGAGTTGTCGGCCGACGGCGTTCTCTACCCAATCGGAGAGGAATGAATAAGTCCTCCCCTCTGCTCCTGCAAAAGGTCAAGCCCATGGACTGAGGAAATTGAGCTCTGAGCGAAGAGGAAGGGAGGGAGAACATCTTGACCAAGTGGAAGCCCCCGCTGCGATGATCCGACGGCAGCGACGGAAACAGCGACGGGAACAGCGACCATTGAATGAAGGTTCTTCTCCCCCTGGGGAGCTTTGCGATGAGCCAGCGAGGGTCACCTGGTGATCTCGCCGACGCTTCCGAATTCCGTGTCTGCCTTCACTGCGGCCTCCATGCCGCCAATAATGGCAACCGCCCATCTTAAACTCGCCCGCGGGCGCTCGGTTCGGGTCAACCTCGATGGATACCCACCGCATCATGGGCCTGCAGCATCCCCGCCTTGATCCTGAGGCTGTCCTGATTACGATCATCTATCTCTCTCCCGAGGGCGGGCGAGTTTTCAATCTTTAATTCGTAATATGTATTAGATTTCAATTCTGGGACAGATAAACACGGTAGAAAAGACTAATCCAGCAGCAGATGTACCTGGGCGAGGATGGTTTTGGGGAAGAAGGACCCCGTCAAAGACGTTTCTTCGAACTAATCACGCGAACAACGAAAGAAGAACACGCTCTCTCTCTCTCTCTCTCTCTCTCTCTCTCTCTCTCTCTCTCTCTCTCGCTCCCTCTCTTTTCTTTATCCCCCTCTCTTTCTATCTCTCTCTCTCTACACACGATGGGCATGATTTGCTTTAATGTGGAAAGGGATGGACAACGAGAACGGGGACTCAAAGAATATGAAAACTGAAGTCCGACTTATTTAATTCTAACAGCTTACATAAGCATAAGTCGTCTTAGTAGACGCGGTTAATGCTTCCGTCTGCTTAGACGGAATAAGCTGTCCGCCCCCCCTCGCTTTCTCTCTCTCTCTCTACCCTACCTCCTGTCTCCCTCACTGGACCTCCCCAACTGGCCAACCCCCCCCTCCCCCCCGCGGGGTTTCCCTCGCTTCTTCTTCTTCTTCTTCTTCCCCACCTCCCTATAAAATCGTCAGCAGGGGGAGCGGACGAGGATAGGAAGAACATCCGAAGGATAGGAAGAAAATCCGAGGGATAGGAAGAACATCAGAGGGATAGGAAGATCATCAGAAGGATAGGAAGACCTTCAGAAAACCCGCCATGGAGTCTCTTCGCGTGCTCACCCCCATCCGACTTCTCCAGGGCGCCTTCTTCGCCCTGCTGGCCCTCACCTTCGCCGTCCACGCGCTGGTGGACTCCGGCCTCCTGCTCCAGCGGCTGTCTCAGCACAAGGTCCCCCTGCTGGGGCTGCTATGGTGCACAGTCTGCGGCATCGTCGCCTACATCCTCACGCGGGCGCGGCCGGTCCTCCTCCTCGACTATGCCTGTCATAAGCCCTCCTCCGAGCACCGGCTTAGCTTCGAAGCCTGCGAGTACTTCATCCGCAGGATCAACCGCTACTCGATGACCAGCGAGAACTTCATGCGGGGCATCTACCACAAGTCCGGGCTGGGCGACGAGACCTACGGGCCTCCCTTCGTCTTCAACGAGGACAACGACGCGAAGCTCGCCTCCGCCGTGGAGGAGGCGCAGGAGGGAGCCTTCTCCTGCGTTGAGACGGTCCTGTTCAAGTCCAACCTCTCCCCGGATCAGATCGATGTGGTGGTGGTGAGCTGCGGCATGTTCACGCACTCCCCCTCCCTCTCCGCCATGCTCGTTAACCGCTTTGGCTTCAACCCTAACGTGAAGACCTACAACCTCAGCGGCATGGGGTGCAGCTCCGGCGCCGCCGCCGTCGACCTCGGCGCCCGCATCCTCTCTGCGTCTCGGGAGGTCCGCAACGTCCTCGTCGCCGTCACGGAGAGCATCAGCTTGAACTGGTACTTCGGGGACGAACGATCCATGCTGGTCACCAACTGCATCTTCCGGGTTGGCAGCGCAGCCGCCGTCCTCACCAACGACCCAGCGCGCCGCTGCCAAGCTAAGATGGAGCTGATGCACAGCCTCCGCTCCCATAATGGTGCCGACGACGCCTCCTACCGCGCGGCGTACCTGGAGGAGGACCATAACGATAACTTGGGAGTGAGCCTGAAGAAGGACCTCATCCGAGTGGCCGGCGTGGGGCTGCGAGAGCACATCCGCCAGCTCGCCCCACGCGTGCTCCCCCTCTCGGAGATCGTCTACGGCGCCTACGCCGCTGCGGCGGCGTGGGCGAGGACGAAGATGGGGCTGTCTAACGCCGACGCGAAGCCCCACGTGCCGGACTTCACGAAGGCGTTCGAGCACATCTGCCTGCATACCGGCGGGAAGGCGGTGGTGGAGTCTGTGCAGAAGTTGATGAGGCTGCCGGACGAGACGACGGAGCCAGCAAGGATGACGCTGCACCGGTTCGGGAACACTTCCAGCAGCCTCATCTTCTACGAGATGGCCTACTTCGACGCCAAGGGCAAGTTCCAGGAGGGCGACAGGGTGTGGATGATCGCCTTCGGGACGGGATTCAAGGTTTGCAGCCTCGTGTGGAAGTCTCTGAAGCCCTCGGTGATGACCAAGGACAACCCCTGGAAGGACTGCATCCACAGGTACCCCTTGAAGGCATGGTGAGCAAGGGGGAGGGCGGGGGCCAAGCGGGCGATACATTCATTCTCCCCATACCTTAGAGGTCGCCTTCGTGCAGTCATGGTCGCGAAATGAAGGCACCATATGGCTGCGTTCTACAAGAACATGCTTAGGGTTTTCTTCCGCTTGTCGTGGTCTATTTTATATAGGCCTCAAGAAAATTTATCATTGCCCATTTTTATTTTTTTCTCCAATACTCGAATACCAGAAAGGTTTCTGTTGACAACATAGAAAGTCAGCTTGGCTCTCGGATAAATGGTGGTGCCGCCCAAGGGGCCGGCCCTCATGGCTCCGGGACCGTGGCTTTCAAAAGGGGAAGGAGGGATAGGGAGGGGACTGGGCCTAAGAAGTTATAGCCTGGATATCAAACAGACGGGTCGGAACTCTCTCTCTCCCTCTCTCTCTCTCTCTCTCTCTCTCTCTCCCTCTCTCTCTCTCTCTCTCTCTCTCTCTCTCTCGTGGGTAAGACCGAGCCGCCGAGCCCGCAACAGTCCAGCTGTCATGGCACCGGAACCGTGGCTTTTAAGGGGGGGAGGGAGTGGCCCAAACTTGGAAATTATACCTTGGATACCAAATAGACGGGTCGGATCCCTCTCTCTCTCTCTCTCTCTCTCTCTCTCTCTCTCTCTCTCTCTCTATGCGTCTCTCTTAGGTAAGACTGAGCCGACGAACCCGCAACACTCCAGCTCTCATGACTCCGGGACCGTGGCTTTTAAGGGGGGAGTGAGCCTGGGAATTATACCCAGGATACCAAATAGACGGGTCGGATCTCTCTCTCTGCCTCTCTCGTGGGTAAGACTCAACACGAACCCGCAACAGTCCAGCTGTCATGGCTCCGGGACCGTGGCTTTCAATGGGGGAGTGGGCCTAACGTGGGAATTACACCCAGGATACCATATAGACGTAGACGGGTCGGATCTCTCTCTCTCTCTCTCTCTCTCTCTCTGTGCCTCTCTCGTGGTTAAGACTGTGCCGACGAACCCGCAGCAGTCCAGCTCTCATGGCTCCGGGACCGTGGCTTTAAAGGGGGGGAGTGGGCCTAACTTAGGAATTATACTCAGTATATCAAACAGATGGGTCAGAACTCTCTCTTCCGCCTGCTTCTCTCTCTCTCTGCCTCTCTCGTGGGTAAGATTGAGCACACGAACATGCGACACTCCGCTGGTTTAGAAAGAGAGGCGAAAGGACCTGACAAATAAAAAATGCAGCTTTCGTGTGGCAAACGACGACCGGGATGCTTCAGTATATACAGGACCAAAACGAGAAGCATTGTCAAATAAAGCGTAACTGGCGGGCCCTCAACTGGTCCCGGGGCGCTCCTTGTCGAGGGCGCTGCTTCTCCGGAACCCGACAACGCTTAGCTTCGACCCTGCCGGCCTGGGTGCAAAGGGTTTCCTCTTGGTAGTTTCCGCTTGCTTCTTCCCACCTGGAGACTCCCCCCTCGGCCGGCCGGCGCCGGAGGCCTTTACGGCAACGGGCTTCCGTTTGGCCGCCGCCGACGGCTTCTTCCAGCTCGGCGGCTCTCTCCTAGGGGTCCGATCAGAGGCCGCCGGCTTGCCCGACTTGCCGGCTGCCGGAGATCTCCCGGTTTTGGCCGCCGGCGATCTCCCGTTTCTGGTCGCCGGCTTTCTGTGTCCTGAGACCGGAGACGACGGCTTCCTTCCGAGACGGGCTTTGGCCGAGATCGCTCCGGTTTTCTTGATCTCTACGGTTCTCGTGGGCTTGGGATCGCTCTGGCGCAGCGCAGCGGCATCCCTTCTGACGCTCTCTGCGTTCAGTGTTTCCAAGCTCTCGTTCTTCATGATGGCGTCTTCAATCCTGCTGGCCAGAATCAGATCCTTCTTGGCCACAAGACTGGTCACCTGGCCTGCAAGAACATTGCTCCCATTCATCAAAAATCTCAGAACAATGTCTGAATTATGAGAGGCAGAGATAAGCCATTAGAACGGTGGATGGTTGTCTGAAAACACTACGATTGCACAGCAACATAAGATCGTTCTATTTGATCATGAAAAAAACCCTTCAACAATTCATAAGAGTCTGAGAGATCGACGAGCCATTAACATCATGACATATAATAAAATCTACCGGTGACCGACTGCAACGCAAATTGCAAGTAGCACACGTTGACCGAGTTGAGAGGGTCTCAAGAACTGGAAGAAATAAGATATGTTAAATATGATAACCAGCAAGAACCAGCACCGCACCTTTCGCACCCATTCGGGCAGTTCTACCAGTGCGATGGAGGTAATCAATCTGAAATACATTAACCAAAGAAAATAAGCTCTCGTCTTTAATAAAGAGGAGGAAGTGTAATCGACATCAATGAAACCCATACCGAATTTTTCGGGAAGTCAAACATGATGACATGGTCAACATCCAAGTCGAGCCCTCGCGCAGCCAAGTCTGTGCAAACCAGAGTAGGGCAATCCCCTTCTTCATTCTTGAATTTTTTGAGGTTTTCAATCCTGCCATAAAAAATAACAACTAGCATTGAGAAAAGTAAGCTCGAATCTTTGGATGTGTTTATGGGGTAAAGATTGGAAAATGAAGTACACTGCATCATGCCATATACTGGAGAAGAAAGGGGCATGCATAAAGAACATGTTTATAATCTCATTTTACATAATTATTACTACTTAAAAAATCATTTCGCAGATTTGGAAATAGTCAACAAATTCTATGCAGAGTTCTACATTGAATTCCTCACTGCACATTTCCTTCTATACAGTGAATAATTCACGATTGTGTGTTTCTCCGTTTTCATTGATCTGAAAAAAAAATCAAAAAGATAACAGCGGAGTAAGCAAATCACTTCACCTTTGTTCTGCCGGCACCTCTCCATGGTAATTAACCGTGAAAATTTGATTTTCACCAAGAAAATGATCAACCGCACGACTAGAATTCAGAGTATTGCAGAAGACCATGACCCTGTTTCCCTTCGCTAAACTCGGTTCAAGAACCTGATGAAATTATATCGTGTGAGCCATGATTTATGTTTTGTCCGTAGGTTTTCTCCCATGGCAAGGAGGTGCTCAACCGAAATAAATAAAAAATTGTAAGTGATCAAATTAATTGTTATGAACATAAACATAACATTATCTTGAATTAATATCGTATAGAATGGAATATAATCCGAAACCATTTTTCCATTAGTCACCAGTAGGCACAGTGGTATCCCTAATCAATCATACTGAACCAAGTTATTCCAAAAAAGACGAAATATAGGACCCTGTAAATCCTTTAAGATAACTAGATGGAGCAAGACACACAAAAGGAGGAAATGAGCTAACAGATTATTGGCACTTAGATTCCAACTGAACATCATACTGACCTGTAAAAGCGCCTCCAGCTTGTTTTCAGAACCCGAAAGTTTTATAAAATCATGGCGAGCAGATGCAACTTTCTTGTTGAACGTTGATGTGCGTAAATGAACAATTCCTTGAAATTCCTCATCAATCAATGTTTGCACAGCCTGTAATACCCTCAAAAAGGGTCAGAAACCCACATTGTCAGTCCGTACCGATATAAATTGCAACAATTGAAGGGAATATTGGCTAGTATTACAACACAATTATAATTAAACTTGAATAATTCATCTCATACCAAAAACGACAACGCCAAAGACCAATGCCATTCTCATAGCCATAACTATAGCACTATCATGCGTATCTTAAGATGACGTATTCACAGCCAAAGAATAATAGCTTCCTCCAATTCAAAATCAATAGTTAACTTAAAGAATGCGACTGAACTGTATGCACCAATGACAATCCTCACGAAGACAGATGGAATAATAGATTCACAACAAAGTCATAAGTGAATTAAACAAAAAATGTTTATATTAATAACACATTAATCTAGCAAGCTTTCAGAATCGCCAACTACCTGATGCAAAAAAAGAAAAACGCATGAAACATCAGACTTTTAACTACCCTAGGGGTAAAATACGCCTGAGGTAAGCGTGAACAAAATTAACCTTTGTCATGGTTGCAGCAACCAAGATAGTTTGAAATCCTTGATCACCAGGTTTTAATGATCGGTTCTTCAGTGGGGCAAGAAACTTCCGAATGTCAGGACCAAAGCCATGATCAAACATTGTGTCCGCCTCATCCAGGACCTGAAAAAGAGAATCTCATAACTAAGTTGGCAGCCTTGCGAGAGAGAGAGAGAGAGAGAGAGAGAGAGAGAGAGAGAGTAGTCTACTGACTGGCATTCGGACAGTTTGAAAAATACCAGGTACTTGATATCGCCATAAACAATGTTTCCATCTTTGATATGCTGAAGAATCCTCCCAGGTGTACCAACAATCATATCAAGAGGAATGTTCAAGGAATCCTCTTGAGGTCTTAGGCGGCCACCTCCACTTATCATGGTAGAACGAAACCGGGCATGATGGCTTATAGATTTGGCAACACGGAATACCTAGAAAGAAATCCCATGTTTCACTTATAAAGTAAGAAACTCAAGCAATAATGACCGCTTTATAATGAATACATTAGAGATGAAACAATAACCTGCTCAGAGAGTTCCCTTGTTGGACACAGCACAACAGCTCGAGGACGCCTAGCCTTCATCAGCATACCAGACATCTCTTCATCACGCCTAATTAGCTGTATGTGAACAAATTTCATGGTTGTAAAGATCTATTTAGAGGTTTTCAACGAGAGAAAAGAACATAGAAGTTCTCTATACCTAGTTTCAAACTTCATCTATCTTTTAATTACATGTATTTAGCATTTCAATAATTTAATACCTTGCAGAAGATAAAGTAGCGGAGAATTTTTGTAATCACCAAGACATTGTAGGAATAATATCACTGACACTATACCCTAACGCAAAAAAAAATTCAGCAGAAGCAGATCGTGCATATACCTTAATGTTAAAAACCATAGTTATAAATCATTATAATTCTCAAATATTACAGGTAAAATAAATCAAATGACCGCGAGAGCTTCTCCAGAAATATCTCTGGCATGAACGTACGAACTCGTCCCTAGCCAAATGTAAAGCTAAAAGGAATAAAATTTTGGGAAAATAATTTACGATTTTAACAGTGTGAGGCTAGGCCAGTGATGTTACTCATGAGCAGACATTGATAACCCCGTATTCAAAAATCTCATAGTTCTTGCATAGATGCTGTCCACGCATTCAAACAAGCAGTCAGTGTTTTTTATCTAAACGACTGAAATAAAATAATCTTTCTGCACCAAACTGCTGTTTCATTTGCCATGGGAAAAAATATAATTATTTTTCATTTTTTGAAGATCATTTACGATTTTCCGTGAAAGAACAAACGAGCGTAAACCATCTAACGCGTTCCACTCAATAGGGTGGTGTAGCCGTAATGCAGAATGGGGAAAAATAACCTTTTGTCGACGAAAGAGAAATTATCAACGAAGATACGTGCCGCAAAGAATGATGTTTGCGAATAACATAAAACTCAACTAAAAAAATAGCCACCTGAACCAGAGGAAGCATATACGTGAGGGTTTTCCCCGATCCAGTGTGAGAACCCAGGACGACACTCTTCCCCTCCAGAACAGCCGGGACACCAACACACTGGATCTCCGTGGGAACTGATATTCCCATCTCTCCAAGTGCCCCCATCAACTCGTCATTCAGACCTAATTCCGAAAAGCTCGAAACGACGTTAATTTTCTCTCTGCTACTTTTCTTCACCTCAACTGCTTCGGCAGAATTGCGGAGAGAAGAGGGAGGAGCTTTCCTGCTCGGTGGATTATTCGCAGCATCCTTGAGGTGCCTAGTCCTAAGCCTCTCCAAGAGAATGGAATGGCGAGGAGGTAGAGCCGCCGGCTGAGGATCGGTAACGGTGGTGGCGGTGGAAACGCAGACGACTCCTCTAAACCCTAGAGAACTCCTGCGAGCAGATGGAACTCTGGCGGCAGAGAATATCGAGCGAGATATTATGCTCGAAGAGAAAGAGAGGGAGAGGAGAGCTCTTCCGGTCCCTCCGCCACCGCCCATCCCGGCCGCCCTCGTACAGTATCTGAGAACCTTGTTCAGCGCCGCGCTATCTCACTCCTGCTCGAAGAGGTGGATAGAGAAGAAGGCATTTCCTTAAAAATCCTTATAATACTTACAAATACAAAGTAGACGACAATATGAATTTATTTGATATGTACCTATCCGAATACCACAACGACCCAGCTGCACCTTGGCAAATCGGCCATAACGAAACAGCAGGACTGGGCAGGGGATTGATTTATGGGCCGACTGTACTGGGCTCCGGTGTCAACGGACTATTAACTCTCATCTTTATTAGCCAATTACATTCCGATATTGTCCTCTCTCTCTCTCTCTCTCTCTCTCTCTCTCTCTCTCTCTCTCTCTCTCTCTCTCTCTCTCTCTCTCTCTCTCTCTCTCTCTCTCTCTCTCTTTCCTCCCTCTCCCTATATATATAGGGTAGAGGTCTATCTCTCTCTAGACTCTCTTTTACGGTTCACACAGATATTTTGTAACATTGTCATGTTGTGGGGTACCTATTATAACACACTACAAAATAATGTTTAAATTATTGTAAGACTTATAAAAAAAAATAGAAAAATGGCATACAATATTCAGTATGGAGATGTTTTTTTTTTCTTGTTTATGTCTTTCACTACTTGAAAGAAACCAGCACCTAACTCCTTTTCTATTAAAAATATATCAAGACTTTCCTTGAAAATTATATAAAAATCTTAATAAATAAATTGCATCACCTTTACAGAATACTAAAACATGACTCCAAGTATTAGAATAGGTGTCATCCACAATATCTCTAATATTGTGGATTATTTTAATAAATTTATGTTGTTCTATTCGTAAAATATAAAAGTTTACAATAAATATTAATCATTATCTTTTTACTAAGTCGACATCGGATATCCACCTCCATCATACTTCCCATTGTCAAGTAGTCCAATCACATGTCACAATTATATAAGTTTATATGAGCTTCATGTCAACTTTGTATTGACCCTCACATGTTGTTTTGTAATATCAACTTTTCTTATGTCAAGATTAATGTATTTTAGAAACTTTCATGATTTCGTTATTTATCAAAAGTCATCATATGCACACCAAACATACTCATGAAAAATTAAACTTTATTTAGTTTTAGAATGTGTTACACTTTAAGGATTCTAATAACACCATCAGGTATCTTGATTCTAATTGTACCAACTATTACAAGTAAAATAATTCTAGTCTACTAATCTTACAATATGACTAGCGGCTGAGATAAACTTGAAAATTATTTTACAGGAAGACACGTCAAAATTACAACTAGCATTAGAAATAAGTCTTCTATACAAAAAATTTATATACCAACTGAATAATTTCATTGCCAATATTTTTCTCTTCATCAACATTTATTATATTACACGATACATTCTACTCTAGACAATTGTTGATAACATGTCTTATTTGGTTGCATTTTTAACACTTTCCTCTTGGTAACGTCTTAGATTTTTATCCGGATGATGAAGAGGATGGGGGCTGTAGTCTCAGAAAAACGTCTTTATCGGATAACAGAGATAAATGGCCAGCTCCGTCGTGCAGTACACCGAAGTTACAGCTGGAGATGAGCTCGACAGAAATCCTCTCTTCTTGAAAACATGATTTATTCGCTGAACTCGCAGGAAAAGCGAGAGAAGACGGGGGTTGGAAGAGGAGGAAGAGAAGGTCGGCCGGCCGATCAAGCCCCCTGCGAGGGATCACGAGGCGGCGCCGGGCATGACGCGGCGGGGGACGCCGGCGCCGCGGTGACAGCCGTCCACCAGCTTGAGGAAATACTGGAGCTCCTCGGGATCTATGTCGTAGATCTCATGGAAGCACGACCTGATCTGGGCCTCGGCTGGGAGGATATCGCGGCAGCAGTCGGCGGACAGGGGCTTGCCGTTGGACTCCATCACGCAGTGGTGCGTCCAGTAGAGGAGCTTCAGGCAGCCGTTGGTCACCGGGTCTTCCCCCGGCACCGGCGTGAAGGCCGTCGACGCCAGTGAGCCGACGCCTGCGCCCCAGAAGATGCGGGCCCTGCGGGGGGCCTCGGCGGCGACAATGGGCTCCTCGTCGGAGACGGCGACGGCGGACGGACCAAGAGAAGCGGCCACCACGGCGAGGAACAGGACCATGGCGGTGGCACCGCAGGGGAAGTTCTTCGCCATGTGCTATGGATGGATGGATTCTCCGACGACTGGATGGGATCCTCTCGAGATCTCTCTTCTCCTGCTCTCGCTTACTCCCCCCGTCGACAGGTCTGAACACGTAGATTTATATAATCCCAGTAGAGGATACGTTTACTACATTTCCAACGGATCACATAGAGCTCAATTTATGTGAACTCTCACGTTACGGTGTAAATATCGGTTTTCTCATTTACGAGGAGGCGTTGCTCGGAGTGAGTAAAACTTCTGCAACTCTTCTCTCTCTCTCTCTCTCTCTCTCTCTCTCTCTCTCTCTCCACTCCTAATACCGGATAGGTAGACGAGTTTCTGATATCCTCTCTTTTTACTAGTACCGGCTAAAAGTTTTCCCTTCAAGGCCATTAGACTAGGGTGAGAAGGCTTCCAATTCTCGCCCAACCGATCTACACATTTACTTCTTAATGTGTTCAAAAAGTTGGTAAGTGGAAGCGTATTACAGTATTAAATATAAGGGAGGTTATTTTTTGAAATTTATTTATTTTTATAACATCTTCAGGTCTTCTCGACATATGAATCCATATCCTTAGGTTTCACAAATTCCTTAATATTTTATGATAAATACAAAGAGTTTCCTTCCTTTCACTAAATTTAAAAACCTGAGTCAATTAATGTATTTCTCCTCTAAACTATGTTCTAACTTTATGGATCTATGAGGCTAAATAAAGAAGCACATAACTGATTTTTTTCAAGATTGACAACTCTAGAAGGAAACCTTGAATATCACTGAGAAAATATTCTTAGGTTAAGGATCTAGATACACGAATCCTGTAAGTATTCAAATATAAGATGTGAATGAGAGGCTGTTTTAATCATTATTGATCAATGTTTATAGAGTGATTATTTTCTTGGTTGATGATGCATAAGCTCTTGTAGTTGTAGTAGTGATTTTTCAGCCCTAGATGACATTGTATTTTATCTTTGGATTTATTTTCCCTTTGCTTGAAATTTAGGGAAATTATTGATGTTATTCTTCTTAATTTGTGTTAGTTTTGGAAGATTTTCAACAATCATAAAATAGTCTTCCATGGTTATGACATTCCTAATGCTTTATACTCTGATACACAATGTTTTTTACATGTTTCTCTCTCTCTCTCCCTCTCCCTCTTCCCCTCTCTCTCTCTCTCTCTCCCCCCCCCTCTCTCTCCCTCCCTCTCTCTCTCTCTCTCTTCCTCTCTCTTATATAGTGGCTTAGATCATCCCTATGACAAGGGGTCTACAAGAATAAGTCTTCAGAAGAGTAACTTTGTCGTCTTAAAGATTGATTTCACTAACAAATGTCAAATTGTGACAACATTCTTAATCATTCTAAATCTATCATGTCGTTCCTCAAAGGAGATAAACATGAGTTTCAGAACATCAACATAATGAATTTTCTTTCATAAGATCTATGAGATATTGTAGATAACATATTTGTATAATAAGAGGAAGAAAAGCATAACTAAAGGAGCTTATCAAGTGGGATTTAAATGCTCTTCTAATATCACAACAGACTATTTTATATGTAAATTTTATGAGAAATGTAGATGCTAAAATTTCAACAGTTGTCAATTTTAAACAAGAATATCATGGCAAAAATAAAGCAAAAAAGTAAAACTTAAATTACTCCCCAAGATGCTTTGTGACTCTTTTTATTAAATCATGTGAATCAATTCATGATTTATCTCATGGATTTCTATTATTATAAATAACATATTTTTTTGAAAAAGATAATTCAAAGATAAAATTGTTCCAAAAACTTTAAAATTCTTTGTTTAAAATTAGATCATACTATCATTGAAATTGAATAACCTAAAATCTATCTAGTTTTTTACAACAAGAGTTAATTGGATTATTATTGGCACATGAAGAACAAATGAATAGGTCTTTTGAAAAGTTTATTAAGAAAATATTTCAAGTCAAAGTTGGGATTTCAAAAAGGAAAATGTATGATGAAGTCAACATTGATGCCCATAGTTTTGATGGTTATATATAGATATTTATTAGTAAGTTATTATCTAATTTGAATATTTATTTACATATGTCACTTAAAATCTTTTTAAATGCTTAATATATTTAAAAAAATATTATTTAGTATTCTTTATTAACAGATTATGATTTCATTACTAGTGATTAAAATATAAGGCTTTAACCATTGATATTAAGTCACTTTCTATCTTAAGATTATTTGAAAAAAAAGGATTTTTAGTTGAATAGGCATGTAGAAATGAAAAGTTGTGTATGTCATATGGTATGAGTCAACGTGTATCGACTCATTTGCAAAAGTAAAATAGTTTCGTCTATGATATATACAATGATGTTGATCATAATATTAGTGTTTATTTTTTTGTATCTCTTCTATATAATATTATATAACTTATACATACTATCACATGTATTTAACCACCAAGAGAACAAAGAATGGACCAAAAAATTCAAGTTTGAAAAGATAATCTTGACGATGTCATATCAAACATTTGTATGACACAAAAAAAAGAAGAAAAAATTTATGATTTAGATTTGATGCAGATACTCAACTATTTTCCATCAACTTAAGACTCTTTGATTGGAGTTTGACTTCAAATGGCTATAAAAATAAGAATATAGAAAGTTTGGAAGGTCCAAATGTGGTTACAACATGTTTTGAAAAATGACAAGTTTTAGAGTGATTATGATAAATAAAATAAATATTTATTTTAGAGAAGAGTACTAGACTGAAAAACTAATAAATATGTAAATGTTTAATACTCATTGTCAAGGTCTTTATAGTGCCCATATTAATGACGAACGAAAAAAAAATAATCA